TGCCGCCTGCGCCCCGCGGGGTCGGAGTCCGCGCCGCGGCACTGCGGGCGCGCCGCGCTCACGTTTCCGCCGGGAGATTTAAACGGGGTTTTCCGTCCCCGCTCGCGTCTTCAGTCAGCTTCCGGCGGGCCGCAAAACGGAAGACGGGCCGGCTCGCGGGGCGCTCCCCGGCACCCCCAGACGGGAAGAGCGGGAAGCGGGAAGCGGGCCGCCTGCTCGCCCCGGCGTGAGGCTGAGGCCGGCGGAGGGAGCCCAAGCCCAGGCCCCCGGCCTCCTGCGCCGCGGGCGCCTTTCGGATGTACAGCGGGGGGCGCGGCGGGGCGCGGCTCCACACCCCTGCGAACCCCGGCGCGGGCGGGCGACCGCGCTGCTCCGCAGACGCCGGGCGGGCGGAGATCCAGCAGGCCGGGCTCGGGCGTAGGCTCCGGGCTTGTCGCCCCTCCTTCCCTCGGCGCAGGTCCGGAGCCCCCCTCCTCGTGAGCGCCGCAGGGGCGTGCTCGGGGTCGCACCCTGCCCTCGCCTCTGCGCCCTCTGCGAGTGACCTTGCCCCGCCCTTGAGCCGCGGCGGGCGCGGCAGGTTGAGGAGCTGTGGGTGCCGCCCCGCCCGCCGCGGGCGCCTACGTGATGCCTGGCCAGTCGCCGCCCTACGCGCTCCGTTCCGACACCCGTGGCACCGGCGCGCGCCGCGGCGGGCGGGGACCCGAGCCTCAGGTGCGCGGGCGTGGGGGCCGGCGCTGCAGCGGGAGTGAGGGTCCGCGGTGAGACCCTCCTCCTCGTCCTATTAAAAGAAGCGATCGCAGCCGATCGCCGCCAGCACCCCGTAGGCCCGCCTTCCTCCCTGCGGAAGGGATGGCTGTAGCGTTAGCATCTTAGTAAAGTGATCCTCAGTACAAACATTCCGCGTGAAGGGCAGGCTTCTCAGAGAATGAAAATGCACAGGCTGGATCATTAAAAATAGGAGCGTAATGGGAGATGGCATCCAACATCTGGAGCGCCCTAAACAAGAGCCCGAGCATGTGCTGGTATGGGGTCACCTGGGCTTTGGACACCCCCTCCCGCCCCGCGGCTTCACGTGCCAGGCCAGGGGCCTCGTGCTGGTCATGGCAGAAAGCACGTTGAATCTTACCCTGCACTGCCAGCGAAGGAGCAGCCCAGGAAGAGGAACGGGGCCCCTGCCCCTCCTCCACCCCAGGGCTGTGAGGTCAAGGTTATTTTAGAATGAAGATGCTGTACCTCGGGGAAAAAATTACGGATCATTCTTTCGAAATCCCTACCCAAATGTTTGCCAAAATACTTGGTAGTTTGTGGGCAAAAACGTGGCTAGGTCTATCTAACATTTGTGAGAAGTTGATTAAAAGGCCACACCTCTTCTCTTCAGTGCAAAAGAGCACCCTGGAAACCAGAACTACATGCGAACGTTGCTGGTCAGTGCAGTGTCTGGTAACGGGGGACTGCTGCTCTTCGTTTAACGGGGCGTCAAATGTGACCTCATGCTTTGATGTCACGTGTGGGCTGCCCTGAGGAGACCAACCCCGGCCACGTGTCAGGGCATCTTCCCTAAAGACCTGTGACTCGGTCTTCCTCAAACTCCTGTAAACAGGGATGTCTTGTTGCTGTTTTGTCTTTCTGAAAAAGTCATTACGAGATATGCTCCGTGCACCCGGACTTAGCAGTAACAGATTTCCACGCCCTCAGATTAGGTTATTCCTTGAAGTAGTGTCTTTTGTACCAGTCTTTCACTATTCTATGTTGACTCTATCAGTAATTGGTTTTCCCTGAGACAGAAGAACTCTGCTCATAGCTGGGGACCAAAGAGAAAACATTAGAGTCTCAATTTTAGGAATTTTCTACTCAGGTGTGAAATTATAGTAAAATTCCATACTGAGATGACTATAGCTACTGTTTATTCTGAACTTTTTATATATTAGGAGCTTTACCATTCTTACACGCAGGCCTAATTAACATGCCTGCAAGATAGATAGTTCTTCATTTTGGAGATAAGGAGAAAAACTCAGGAAGAGATAAGCAGCTTAGGCAAAGCCACGAAGCTCCTCCCGGGTTGTGGTAGGATTTAAACCACACTGTATGAGAACTTCCTCTCCACATAGTGTGTTCTTAAGAGGCCTCTCTCGAAGAGGCCGTGCAGTCTGACCAGTGCTCAAAGTGAGAACACAGTTGCTCCGAATTATACAGAGGATCTTCTGGCAGTTTCGTTAGTGGAACAGTAAGTGCCTTTCAGAAATAATGGTAAGCAAGGTGGCTAAAGCCATGGGATGTCACAGCTGATACTCAAACAGTGGAGTCCTCTTTTTGACCAGTGGAATTTATATTACATAATTATAAAGTGAAACCAAAAATCCCTCGTCTGTTTTCCTGATTGCTTCAGGCCCCACATTAAGGAAGAATATTCTAAGGCCAGTTTTTTTATTTTCATCGTTGGATCTTTACAGAATATCTCTAAAGAATTAGACTGATTTCTCTTTAACCTAAAATAAGTTCCACATTGCTGAACAGACAGGCTCACTGTGACTGAGTGCCCGCCCTCAAACAGTATTGTGTCACGCACCGAGGGTGATTCACGGTCTCAGACACAGGCTGCGGCTTTGGCAGGGCCTGGTCCCTGTGGAGCTGGGAGTGCTCAGCAGTCAAAGTGCGTCTTTTTTGTCTATGACAAAGTGAACGTTAATACAGTGCTTGCAGAAAATCCATATAAGATTGAGTATGTAGAAGTCTTTCCAATCACGTGAGACTTGCTAGCATTTAGTGACTGCATGTTGTAAAGTTCTCCTAGGTGCTGCTAACTTATCCCCATTTTACTTAGGAGCAAAGAAAGCCTGAGGTGAACCAGCTTCCCTGCATTGACAGAGCTAAGTGTTAGGGACACGCCACTTGACTGCAGGAGCTATGTGGCAGGCTGAGTATAAGGACTGCTTAGAAATCACAGTGTGTGTTTAAATGTTAAGATTTACGGTAAAAGACACATTGCCATTAATCCTTCTCAAAATGCTTCCCCTTGCTACACTCGCTCATCCTGTCGTTCTTGCCACTTTCTGAAGCAGCTCTGTAAGTTCTCTTGCCTGAGAGCCTTTACTAGGTACGATCAAAAATACAGAATGCCCCTGCTGAGTGTCATGCAGTGGAAAGGCAGGCTTGTAAAAGCATGACAGTGTGTCCCCGTCCAACTCACTCACCCGCTCTGACACAGCGAGCCTTCTGGCTCTTCCCCAGTCAGTTGTCATTAAGGAAAACGCTTTGAATGAGTTCAGGACCTCAGAACTACTTCAAGAAGTAGCAAGAACAATGGGATAATGTTAAAGCCAGGGGAAGTATTTTGAAAGGACTGAATGGCAATGTGTCTTTTACCATAAGAGCTTTTAGAGTTTAAACATTCACCCTATTTTCCAGTCACACCTCATACATACAAGTCTGTTCACCGATATACTTCCAGCGTCCAGCACGTCCAGGGCAGGTGGCAGACACTGCAGGGTTTGTGGGCTGTCCCTCGCTTGAAGTCACCACTGAAGAAGTGACAGGTCACTGGGAGCCCTGTCTGTCTTGCTTTTTCATGAAGGCATTTAGGTGAACTAACTCTTACTGATCGCTAGTACTCTCACCCTCGGAAGAGTATGTGTGATCTCCTAAAGCTCTGAGTTTAAAACTACTCAGCAGTGTGAGGAGCTGGTAGACTTGCTGCAGGCAC